GCTTTGATTGTTTCTGAGGTTTGATTTTACCTTTCAGTTGAAATACTTTTACTACAATTAGTAGGCAGACGATAAGAACACCAATTATAGAGATGACTGTCATAACTGCAGCAGAACCGGTGTAAAGACGAATAATGACCCCCATCGAATAATGACCGGGGGTCATTTTTCGACAGCGAAAAATGACCCCCGGTCATTATTCGACGTAGAAAAATGACCCTTTTGCCTGTAGAAAAAGTGTCACTTCCCTAAAAATTTGCAGAACCCACGTGAAGAAAAATGACCCCCGTAGAAAAATGACCCCCTGTAGATTAAAGCTAAAATATTTAGGGGGCAAAAAAAATTGGATAAAGAAGCATATTGGCCAAAATGCTCACCTGAGCTTATTGGGAACAAACTGATAATATGTTGATCTCAAAACATTATACAATTATAGCTATATTTTAAGGTAAATGCAATGATTCAGAATCTAAAGGAGTAAAAGATTTATCAAGCCTTAAGGGTTAGGTAAACATTGTTTTTTGATGGTGGAAATCATCGAACTGACAGAAAAAATCAGCAGTATTATATATTATTATATCCTCCGCTTGAAAAGCGGGAGGGTATATTGTGATTGGGATGTCCGTCCGTCCGTCTGTTACGCTTTGAGGTATCCATCTCTTATCCGCAAATCCTCATATATAAAAAGATGTGTTTGTGAAACAGCTATGCCCCTGTATGGCAACATAGCGAAGATTAAACTTTGTTAAATGCAATTTAAATATATTGTTACCCAAAGTAGGGTCTTCTCACAAGAAATACAACTGCAAAATAGGAAAGCCCTAGCACCACTTGTTCAAAAGTAATGGCTAAGTATAAGTTTTTGAAAGGTAGGTCAAACTCAAAGGTCAAAGTTGATGATTTCTTAAGAAAATGTTTAATATAACAAGGATTACATATGTGAAGTATGAATACCCTAGCCCTTACTGTTCAAAAGTTATGGCCAAGGTAAAAAAAAAATCATAAGTACGGAAAACTCCAAGGTCAAGGTTAAAAGGTCAAGGTTTTTAGTATCCAATGAAAGGTAATGCCAAAAACTACATATTTAAAGTATGAGAGTACTAGTATCTACCGTTTAAAAGTTATGGCCAAAGTAAAAATTTGGCATTTTTGTGTAAAATGGGACAAACTCCAAGGTAAAGGTCAAAAGGTCAAATTTGGTGGTACCCAAAGTAAGGTCTTGTCACAAGGAATATACATATTAAATATGAAAGTAATAGCTCTAATTAATGAAAAGTTATGGTAAAGGTTAAGGTTTTTGTGGACAAACAAACCGCCAGATAGACAGGCGGACATACAGACGAACACGATAAAACTATATACCCCCGAATCTTCGATTACTGGGACATAAAAAGAAATGGTCTTCAATTAACTTTTCATATTAATATACATTATAAAGAAGACGTTACAACAATGAAAATGTTTGTTCTGATTTTCATATTAAATTCTCTGAAAATTATACTCAGAACTGAGAAGGGTGGAGTAAAACATGAAATTAAGGTAGAACCTTTGTCGGAAAAGTCTTTGTCACAAGATTTTCAAACTTTTCAAAATGATAAAGAGCAAGAGCCATCTTATGCATAAAATGGCCCTGTACTTATATCAATTAATTAACTATCACCCTCTTTCCCATTTCATATGTCAAAATAAAGTAGACACTTGGTGCTTTCATCTTCTATAATAAAATTTCGTTTTGCGAATCCAGATATTGGAAGACAGGTTTTAGAAATTTCAATGTTCTTGAAATTTGCAGAAAAAATGCATATTTGACTACCTTCGGCAAAGAATTAAATTATGAGCACAGCCCACGATCCAAAAAATAAAACATGTTTTTTTATCTTTAGAATTAGAGCTTTCATTATGTATATTTGGGATCAGAGGTTGTGCTCTGTATAAAATATTGAAAAAATGCTTCAACTTTAGGTCATTTTCAAAGGAATTTACAGGATATGATGAAAATGACGCATTTTATGACGTCATAATGCATTGACTAGATGGGACATTACGTCACCAGTAATAGATATGTAGTCACCAACTCTCCAAGTGATAAATACTGCATTTGCAACCTAAACTGAGCGGTTTTTATTTTTCGGAAATTCTCAGGGCCAAATAAGGCCCAACATGACTCTTGCTCTTAGTACTTGCTTATCAATCAGTTAAGATATCATGATATGTTTCCTTGTTTTTTAATCTAGAACAGGCTGTGAAACTTGGTATGGTATTTACATACTGCGACTTCACATTTTCAAATATTTTTAGGGGTACTTGTCATAAAGGGAATATGAAAAATCACAAAAATACTTCTTCAAATATCGTCGTTTATAAACTTTTTTAACTGAGTAATATTAAACAATATTTTATCAAGAATAATTTCTTTTTTATTCAATTAACATAAAAGATAAGTCCACCATTAAAAAAAATAGTCAAATGAACTCTATTATTTTTAGTCAATTATTCACCCTATATTTGTAAATATTTTTTTTAGACGTCTTTGTCACAATGTTTTCAATCTTTAATATGATGAAGAACATAGCCAAATGATTACAAAAAATGATTAAAATATATACCTTTCCCCTCTAACTAATGAAAGATAGGCTATTTACCGATACTCATATTCTTGACCTTTTTGCACTTACACGGGATTTAATAATGTTACTTTCAGATTAAATATTCATCAGAAATTGTACTTTTTCTTTAAAAAGATCATATTTAATAGAAAAATTGTAATCAAACATCAAGAATATGAATAGGTAACACATAATTGTTAAAAGGAATGCACATCATTTCATTATAGATATCACAAAAATGTACACACGATCAAACGATCTACAACACGTACATCTTTGACTTAGACACATTTTATCAAGATATTACACTATATAGCTGGCAACTAAAGATTTCTTACGATTTATACATTCCTTCAAAATGGTTACATACCATTCAAATTATTACGAAAGTTGTATGTACATTGTAATTTCATTACACTAGATAGTCTTGGGTTTGTCAACTTCAGGTCTAGATCTAGTAAATAAAAAGTGCCTACATATTTTCTCTTTTTCCAGAAATATATTGCCATTAAGCATTATAAACCAAAAAATATATGAATTGAATCAAGATTATGTTGGCATGATTGAATTCTGTGAATTTCAAAATGCAGTTTGACGTCTTAATGGGTTAGCACAGGTTTAACACATTTACAAGTTATGATGTCATACGAAGTAGGTTCTACGTTAAAAGAAATGTAATGAATACTGTGTGCTAAATCAAAAGTTTATGTCTATATGTATAGTTTTTGCATTAGAATGACTGTGTATTTTACACTAGCCCATAGCTTTACAGAGCATATTTTTAGGTCTTATACTTACCCCACCCCTTTCTTATTTAGGAGGAAGTCGATATTGAACAAAAGCAAAAAAACCAAATTACCTTTATTTTTCTATAAGAAGGAATTAAAAATAAGCTAAAAATAATCTACTATTCTACAAATTTTTAACTGTTACTTTGCCACAATACTTTCAAGTAAACCCCCACCAACATTTAAAGTATGCTTTAATCATGGCGAAGTAAATTATGATATGATAGTACTTGTGTGAAGGCTTAACTTCATTTCAATATTTTATCTAGAGCCTCTTTCAGATTATTGAAAAGTATAGAGTTTTATTTATATTTTTGCTTTTCATTTATTTTCATTTTTTTGTTTTGATTTAACGTAATTTTCTTTTTTTGGGGGGTGGGGGGGGGGGGTAAAAATTTCTTCCTCTTTCATTGTCAAATAGAATTTGCCAAACATAAACAAACTAAAAGTTGAATTGACGGAAAATTTAATTTTTCCCATTAAAGAGTATTTAAGCCTGATTTTTGCATGGTTTGATTTCTAAAAACAAGTGGAATATCATTCTTTAAGCAAACATTATAAGGAGGAATATTAAAAAGAAATTTTATTTACTTGACAATTAAAGAATCTCTTTTCAAACACAATTTTAGCATTAAAAGACTACGTGAATCTCTTAATTATTTCATACGACTTTTTGTATTTTTCTTGTTACACAAAATGTAAAAATTAGTTTCGCTGTAAAAAAGATATCAAAGAGTGTATATTTTGTATCACTTTAAAGGGGGTCATTTTTCAATGGGGGTCATTATTTTATAGGACTAACATATAAAATAATGACCCCCTAGGACCCTTTTTCTACAAAAAATGATTTTGTTCTACGGGTGGGGGTCATTTTTTGTCGTTGAAAAATGACCCCCGGTCATTATTCGATGGGGGTCATTATTCGTCTTTACACCGGCTTTATTATCTCCAGACGTATTAGAACCCGTTTTTTCATCTGCAGACTCTTGACCAAATTTAAGGACTTCTACTTCCCTGTGAATAGCACTATTGCTTGATTTTCCAAGAGCAGTCCTATTATTTGATTGTGAAAGGCAAACCGGTGGCGGACATCTCTTTGTCTTTTAATGCTAAACAAAGAAATCAACAAAAATATTTTCTTTGGTTTAAACGCTCTTAGACGTAGTACAATTGATAATTCTTATACCATTCTTCTTTGTAAATGTTTAGATATAACAAAGACAGGTTCTAAAAGCTAACAAATGAAACGGGCATTGAAGATACATGTTTAACGTCTGTAGACAAGCATATATGCTACAATACTTTATAATATTGCAAACGAGAAGAGTAGAGCAAAACAAAAATTATGATATTATGATCCTACAATATGTCATTCATAAACAATACATCATTAGGAATGTTAATTGATATCATAGCTTAGAATTAAGAGTTATGAAAATGCATGAATCTCGGTACAAGAATGATCCATCTAAACCACTGCTCAGCAAGTGCCTTTGAATTTTGAGTCCTTCACCAACTGGTGGAGTCTCAGCAATGAAAAATTCTCGAAGAAGAGACTTAAAACAGATATATAAAGTTTATAAACAATAATGATTAGTAAACTCACAATTTCTGCAGCCGGTCTTTGAATCACACAAGTCTGGAGGACATTGACAATTACCCTCCAAACATCGGTGACCATACGATGGATAGGGACATATGTGACTACAGTTTGGTCCAAACAGTCCAACTGGACAAGCTTCAGGAAAGAACAACAGTCTTAAATTTATTATCTTAACATATTTCTTTAACTTCAAACACTTAAATTATTACCATCAAAATGAAATACTAACGAACACAGTTTCCATTGAATACATAGTAATCTGCACAACATAACGAAGATGTCTTCGATCTACAAAAAAAAACCCAAAAAATAAACCAAAACAACAACACTCCATTCTCTTCTACTATCATCATTATTATCATTTATACACATTTTTTAAAATTCTTTAAATAAATTTGGTATGTATATTATCTTCATAATAAATTCCTTGGCCTGTTATGACCATGCACACTTTTCATATTTTTCAGGATTAAACAAATTCTCTACGTATGAACAATTTCTAAAACGATGTGAATTTATTGACAAGCCAGTTGTTTAAACAAGAATATCAGCAGTCTCGTTTGAAGTCATCATTTCGTAAGTTCTATGGTCGATACAATGATCTTGTCAGCAAATACAATTTATTTGCTGGGGCTAATTTGAGTCAAATGCTGACTGATGTTTTTCATACTAATTGTTAGTCCATTATTTATACACTGAATTGACGATGGATTTTCCGTTATTTCCCGATCATGACAGTGAGCACACGGCGGATGTGACCGGTCGGCAGAGGATGTTTACTCCTCCACAGCACCTGATCCCATCTGATGTTTTGGAGGTTCGTGATTGCTCTGCTCCTATTTTGTATTGTTTTATGGACTTTGATATTGAATACTATATGTTATCTCTATATCCTTCTTATAAAGATATTATCTTACTTTTAACAATTTTTGATTTCAAATATTTTTTCAAAAGAAAGGAAAATCGTAATCCAATGAACAAACAAAACCATGACTTTGGAAATAGAATTATAAGTAAATAAATAAATACAAGTAAAATTGTAACTGAAATACATTTAAGACAAGTTCAATTGAGGAAATAATTAATATCAATAGTTATCCTTGATACAAGCAATTGTTACAGATTTTAAACATAACATTCCCTTCAATTTTAATAGCCACTTTATTTTTGGCCATTAGTTTCGCACATTTCAAAATAGAATTTCCATTAAATGTCTAGTACTTTAAAAGCAACTAAAACTATTTTCAAAAATTTGCTTTGAATTTTTGTAGAGTTTTTTTTTAAACATCCCTAATTTTCATTGTAAGTTATGACGAAGATGAAAGTGTGTTACCTCAATCGAAGTAAATACCAGTGGGATTTTTCTGATCTACTATTTGTAATTTTATCTCTGACAAAGATATTGGAAATATTGAAAATGTAAATATTTTCATATCAATTTGCATTCAAAACTTGTCATTATCTTAACTATAGTCTGGCTATGTTTGCATTCATGCTCATGGTATCGACCACATAATTTGCAAAATATTGACAAACGAGACTATTGATAACCTTGTACATAAAAGTGAAGGAATATCTATCTGACCTTATGCTCAAATAGTTACTTATTAAAGTGTGAAAAACATAATTGGATTGTAATAGTTACTTGCATAAAATGCACATACGAGGGTCGTTCAATAAATAATGCAACATGTCATCTAAAAGTAAGAAAAAGTACGTAATACATATTCTTAATAGTTTCAATCCCTAAAGGTATTCCCTGTTACCAGTTTCATGTGTCTCAAGTCTTTGAATCCATGGACAGAAATCCCCAGCATACTTATCTTTAGGGATACCCCAAAGACACTGAGAAATATCATTTCCCATGGCATATCTGACAATGTAGAATCTTCCTTTGATTGTTTTTATGTGTTTTGGGGACGAAAAGATCTCACAGTGGCTACGATTAAACTAATATGGGTCATTGAAGAGTCCTGTATACTTTCTTTTCTTCAACATTTTATCTTTTCTCTAAGAGTATATCCAACTGCGTTGTTAAGCACAGGAAAAATACCATGTTAACCGAATTTTGGACTTCCTTTGCAAAAAATTCATCAACTTTCCTTTATGCGATTTGAAGATAAAACTTACTATTGCTAGTCCTTCATTCGGATGCATGTTCATGTTCTAACGGACCTCTTTAAAAACATGAAAACTGATAAAACATGTTTGCAGCAACTGCTTCTCTTTATCCTAATTAAATGAAACCCTTTTCTTTGATTCCTCATTTTTTATCATTAATCATAATTTACGACTTTAATAAGAGCACCATTGTTTCGTCATACATAAAGCCAGTTTATCAATTCTTCAGTTATGTTTAAAAATGTGTTTTTAAGTAAACTGTATGCACATTTAACGAATATTCTCTCTTGGACATTTGTGAGAAGATAGGGCACCAATCTGATTGAAATATTGTTATATGTTGTTCATATGTCCGAATTCTACAAAATGCTGTGACGATTTAATGTTAAGTATTTTAACAATGACTTTCCATGTAAATATAGCATTTTCAAATTACATGTGGCACATAAAGTCGATATTTTGTGATGTTCCCACAAATTTCAATTGACCATATTGACAGTTATATTTGAACCCTTGTTTTTTTCTTCTGAATTATTGAATCCGTCTGAAAAGTATACAGCCTTAAAGATTATTTTTTTCCACTTATAAAAAATTTAATCTTAAATATAAGGTTTGCGGCGATTTATGTAAAAAGCGCAGTTTTCAAATACGCACTTATTTTCATCTTCTTGGCAGAGATCATTTTTAAACAGTTTTCAGCTCAGTGTAGTGACCATTCTTACTTTAAAAATGAATTTCTTTGCGAAGACATTATGAAAATTCATGGGGTTTTCTGTGTTTAGAAGATCTGAAATAGAACTTTTCAAATATGAAAAAATCAAATCAAATGCCTCAACATTTATTATGATATACTGAGTATTGCATTACTTATTGAACGACCCTCGTACATGTATTTATAAAGCAATATTCAAGAAAAAATTGTTTCATACGTTATAGTTTTAGTTTCATATTTAAAATTACCGTTTTCAGTACACAAACTCTCGGTAATGAACAACAGGATTTCAGTATGACAACTTGGAGTCCTTGAGCATCTTGGTGCTGAAAGAAACTTCTTTCACAAACCAAGCAGAAATCCTTGATTGAAATTCGAGATTTATCATCTTTAATATTGAAAGAGGATATTAAAGGCAGATATTAACAAGAGTCCTATTGGTCATAGCGCTCACCTAAGTAACTTTGTCCATGCTGTTCTTAACTAGATCCCCCTTCTAATACCTATTGTGACCCAACCCTATGCTCAGGGTTCTTGATTCGGAAAATAAAATCTATACTACCCCATGATGCTTCTAAATAAGTTTCAGCTTTCCTGACCAAGTTGTTCTTGAGAAAATTTTCCTAATTTCAATTTAAAACTTGGATTCCCTATTGTGGCCCTGTCCTACCCCCAGGGGTCATGATTTGAACAATGTCGAATCTACACTATCTAAGAATGCTTCCACATAAGCTTAAGCTTTTCAGACCCAGTGGATCTTGAGAAGAAAATATTCAAAGCTCTATCCAATATATTTTTATATAAGATTTGGATTCCCTATTGTGGTCCCGCCTTATCCTTCCTCATGGGTCATGACTTGAACAATTTAGAATTAACACTACCCCAGGATGCTAGCACATAAGTTTCAGCTTCAGGCTTCAAGCTCAGTGGTTCTTGATTTTTAACGAATTCTATTTTTCTCTTTTCTTGATTATTTCCCCTCTTGGAAGGAGCTAGGCCATTTATTTTAACAATTCAAAATTCCTTTTACCTAAAATGCTTTGCAATAATTCTTGTCAAAATTGGCTAAGTCGTTCTCGATTAGAAATTAAAAATGTGAAAACTTTACAGACAGACGGAACACGGACATAAAGTGATCAGAAAAGTTGACTTGAGCTTTCAGCTAAAGTGAGCCAGAAATGAGATATTTCTTAAAATGATTTTTACCTCTGTATCCGACAAATTGTTGAGAGAAAGCAATTTCCATCTCGATTTGACTTGGATTCGGAGGCAGCAGGCCAATATCAAAGAAATTCAGACTTATTTATTTTTTCCCGTTACAAATAAACCCTTTTCGCTTGACGCAACTCATTATTGATAATAGTAGTTTGCACATAAACGTGAAATATGTATAGTACGTTGCGAAAATAAAAGGAAAGAGATATTAGTTTCAATATTTTTATATAGGTATACTTTGATTCTCTACACCCCCACCAAAAAAAGCCCACATATGTAAACAGTTCCTAATCAGTATGTAAAAAGTGGTTACGATTCATTTTTGAAGATAAATCCATCTCTTCAGAATTATTTATTTTGGTGAGATGTCTTATTTCCTTTCCATCTATGGTGTTGTTTTTTAATATATCCGAAGACTCGTGTTTTAATGATCCTCATTTTATCGAGGACTGAACGCTCTTTATATATAAAAAAATGGAATTTTTATTAGTATTTGTGAGAAAAACATGATTTAAAATGTATAAATAGTTAATTTTTGTAATGAAAAAATCAACACATATTTCCTTGAGAAAGAAAACAAAGCGGACCACACAGAAAATTTTAAAATATAGTTATCATTTCTTTTTTTTTACATTACTAATTACAATCTGGACGAACTATAATTTATGATATTTCACATAGTTTTCAATGAAAAACATGAACAACGAACAGCACTTAAGGTAAAAAAAAATCCTTAAAACAATAAAACAAATCAAATTAGTGAGCAAAATTGTTAAGACGCAATCTTTAAATACGATAATTACATGTATTACTTAATGTGAGACTTTTTCCACATTGAGTATTATACCTGAAATCAAACCAAAATAAAATAATTGAAGACTCTTCTTTGGAGATACAATTTATTTAAATATATATTTCTTAATTCTTAATTTCTTTATACTGTATTATAATAAAAAAAGGATTTTCCTCATTGTTGTTGCCGTGAGTTTAACCGTCATAAACCATAGTTGTAGGTTGGAAAAGAACTTTTTAACTTGACTTTCTTTCATAATCCGATTAATTATTTTTACATGTATGGATATGATGTTTTTAAAAATCTTCTGTCAATAAGTATTCAGTGGCAAAGCGATATTCAGATTTTTTTTTATTTTTTCAAATTTCACATTTACAATATACCTGTATTTAAAATATTCACATTAATTAGCATTTTAATTAAAATGCCATTGCAAACAAGAGGCCCATGGGCCACATCGCTCACCCGAGCATTGTGGCTAGGAAAAAGTAGAAATTGGTTTACTATTGAAAAGTTTAAATTCAAACGTTTGGCCCCGCCCTACCCCCGGGGGTCATGATTTGAACAAACTTGAATCTAAACTACCTGGGGATGCTTCCATATAAATATGAGCAATCATGGCTTTGCTGTTCTTAAGAAGAAGATTTTTAAAGAATTTCCCTATATATTTCTATATAAAACTTTGGTCGGCCATTGTGGCCCCGCCCTAGCCCCGGGGGTCATGATTTGAACAAATTTGAATCTACACTACCTGGGGATGCTTCCATATAAATATGAGCAATTATGGCTTTGCTGTTCTTAAGAAGAAGATTTTTAAAGAATTTTCCTATATATTTCTATATAAAACTTTGGTCGGCCATTGTGGCCCTGCCCTACCCCCAGGGGGTCATAATTGAAACAAACTTGAATCTACACTACCCGGGGATGCTTCCATATAAATATGAGCAATCATGGCTTTGCTGTTCTTGAGAAGAAGATTTTTAAAGAGTTTTCCTATATATTTCTTTATAAAACTTTGGTCGGCCATTGTGGCCCCGCCCTTCCCCCGGGGGACTTAATTTGAACAAACTTGAACCTAAACTACCTGGGGATGCTTCCATATAAATATGAGCAATCATGGCTTTGCTGTTCTTGAGAAGAAGATTTTTTTAAAAAAATTCCT